CAGTATAACAAGGATAGATGAAGGGATTTCAGGGGATAGCAACAGCAGGCCATAGTGATACTAACCTCTCTAAAAGAAGAATGTTGTCTGGTTTGAAATCTCCATGAATTATAGCACATGAGTGCATTGTGATTAGCATGCGGAGAAGGGAGATTGCTACAGATGTTGCTATTTCCTCTGTACAATGTGCAGTAGTTTTATACATATTGGAAACATCCTGAACGAAAACAACAATTTTTAGCATCATGATGATGGTGTTTTCAGTGGAAACTCAGAGAAAAAAAGGATAAGATATGCAGCCGTTTTCACAACCTGCTCATATGAAATCACAATCATTGAAGTAAAATAKAAGTTTGTTTCAAAATCAACATCAGAAGCCAATCAGCAAAGATTATTCCAAGTTCTCCATTGTTGTAGAAAATAATGCATTAATCCTAATTGCTCCAAAAGTTATAATTTTGGGTCACACATGCCAGTAAAAAAAGATAAAATGTTGGTAAAAGGTGAGTAAATAACAGACTTAGATAACACATACTAGCAATGTTCCTAGTGGGCTGTACTCGTCTACCAAGACAGATCCATTAGCATAGTTATAGATGTTACTTGGATTCATGAACATAGCATGCTGAAACAGATAAGGAATATATTGCTAAGGATATATAATTATAGCTTTTACAGTTGACTACCAATAATAATGACTACATAATGCAATTCCTGGCAAATTATAACACAATCAATCCTTTGTCATAAGCTTTTGAAATCTGTATTGAAAGAGTAGCCATTTCTTTATATTAGAAGGTTCTATAGGTCATTGTGTGGATGGAAAAGATGGATTTGGCCATCATCAAAACTAGTGGTGTGAGAGGCCCAGTAGCCAGCAATTTAGTATAGTTGCAGATATTTCTTTAAAAAAGTCAAAATCCCTCAAAACAACACATAAACAATTTCAAATATCATAAACAAGCTTTTTTTGAGCATTTTTGACATCAATTTCATTGTCAATAAGAGTACAGACAATGGAAAACCACCTGCGAATTGTTTTTATAATAACTTGTTGATCCAATTAAATCATTGTTTATTTTGCAGAACTCTGCACAGTTTCACTTGTAAATTGTTTTGCAAGACAAGTGTGATTACTGTGTCATTGCCATATTGTCTAAACTCTCAGTGACAATAGCTTTCGGCCAATCAGCACACAAGAAATTTACAAGTTATTATAAAACACAATTTTGCCAACATACTGTTTCACTTGGACATGACATGGCATCAATTCTTGCATGTAACTGGCGACACAAGTAAAATTCCCAGTTAATTGGAATATTTTGTATCTAAAAACAGAAAAATTACACAAAAATTGTTATCAATTACTTATAGGAAATATATATTCATTTACAGTACAATTTGCGTGTCAAACGTTTCACTTTACTCTGGAAACAAAGAAATTTTTTTTGAGAAGAATTTGTCTCTATGTGACACTTAGAGTGATTCATAAATCTCAATCCATTATAACACTCAATTTCATAGTTATATGTCAAGGAAGCTATAAATAAGTGAAATGAAAATTTATGTAGTAGAGTACAAACATTAAATGTGTGCAACACTTTCCACTATTTACTACAAAACAGTGTTAATCAAACAATAGAAAACAATAGAATTAGCATAATTTAGCAGTATTTAGTGGTATTTATGTTGCACAGTTTTAGTGTCTGTACTCTAATACACACGAAACAAACCTTTAAAGTAACCTCGCTTCTGTCATCATCATCAGCACCAAGGTCAGGTGAAAGTTTGTAGGCACAAAAGACTTTAGCAAAAGCTCCTGCACCAATGCGATGTCTAACTTGATAGAGGTCATTTTCACCTGCATTTTCAAATAAATAAATGTATACAAGAATAAAACAAAATTCGTCACTGCTTTATGCTTCTAGGATTTGTACCCAGGCTAACCTAGCACCAGCGAAGCAAAATTCAATAAAACCTTGCATTGTGTTATTACCAATCACATATGATAACTCTATGCTTAAATACCATATTAGTAGACAACAACCTCTAGATAAGGACATCAAGGATAATGACATCATTGATTTGCTGAATATTTAGTCCAGTTTGAACAATTCAAAAAAATCATTTTTTGTCTAGCAAACCATGGTTCAGTGGTAATATGCGTGACTATGAATCAAGAGGTTCCAGGTTTGATTTCAGTATGGACACAAAAAAAAGAAAAAAAAAAGAAAACTAAGAGGATACTAAAACAGACAGCATTTGATTAATCAATGCACAGGAAAATAAAATATAAATATGGATTTCCAGCTAATTAGAATGAACAGACTTTGCAAAAAATTAATTTTTATGTTACTATTAATAATAGTAACCAAGGTCAATTTTACAGAAAAGCGAGTGATCAGTCAGTGAGTGAGTGATAAAATGTCCATCTACAATAACTCCTTGATTCTTTGAGTTAAAAACTGTCCTAAAATACATCAAATAATTGCAAAGGACTCTTCATAATGTGTTTTTTCTTACCAACTCACTTTTGATGTGATAAAAGTCATTAATATAATTAAATAAATAAATCATCTTTTTTAGGCTGGTTGACCATTTGTTTCATGGTTATGGTACTTACCAAGGTCTATGGCACATTTTTCTACTATTAAAGGYACATTCTCATTGCAGCTGAAGTAACCATTGTATGTRGAYACTGGGGGAGCAATGTTATGCAATAAATTCTCAGTTACTTCATCGCTGAAAGGATTCAAGTTTGAAATGTTATCAATTTGACAAGTTCCTTCTTCTCTAGTCAGTTCTTGAGTACTCAAACAATCTTTTGTATTCATTGTATTGTTCTTTGACGACTTTTGTGCTCCAGAAACAYTATGCTTATCTTCTATAATGGATTCCARTTTTATAGCATTTGAAATTCGCTGTGAGACACTTCCTCGGCTTGACATAGTTGTGGAGCTTGCTGTAGACCTTGTGTCTTCATCACTTCTTTCAAATATGGGACTAAGAACCTTATTTGGTGTGCATGCAAATGTGTTTGCTGAGTACTCCATAGATTCATGCACAGCATCTTTGGGTGCTTTAATTGTACTCAACACAAAGGAAGGAGGATCCAAGCCCTGTGAGTATGGAGTGGAGGCCATTCTTGCAGCCATTTTAAAATTTGCTAAATAATTCATGTCTTCAGTGACATCTCCAGTTGTCTTATTACAGCTATCAATGGTTCTGTTGCCATGGAAATTGTTTGGTGGCACATGTTCATCATCATCATCATCAATGTTTACATCATTTTCTCTAGGGCATACAGGAATACCTTGTGATGGTTGAAGAACACCTACTATTGGCCGGTTGGTTTTTTCTTGTACATAATCTTGAGGTGGTCTGCCAAATGAATACAATTATCATTTTTAAATACAAAACCTTAAATAATAACGCATTTTTTTTGGAAATTGCAAATAAAACATGTAAGACCACTTAGCTGGTGGCACATACTATAATTTACACACTGCATTCTTACAATTTACATATAAATTGGGAAATGATTTTGAGAATTATATTTATTATTTAATAATAAAAATCATTGTGTTATGACAATTCTCTTAAAAACCTGTTTATTAAGTGTTAATTAGTGTTTATTTTAATCTATAGGTGGAAATAATGTATAGTGTCATAGAACATTTATCCAAAGATGTTTGGCTAGACAGGCTGCCAGGAATGTAAGCGCATTAGACTGTGCATGTGAAAATTGTTATCGGAAAACAGCTCCCCCACTTTTACATGAGTCAACAAGGAATTATTATCTTATCATCATGATAAATTAAAGCATGTCTAGTATCAAACCTGTTTTTATTATCTTATCATCACGATAAAAGCATGTCTAGTATCAAACCTGTTTTTATTATCTTATCATCATGATAAAAGCATGCCTAGTATCAAACCTGTTTTTATTATCTTATCATCATGATAATAAGCATGTCTAGTATCAAACCTGTTTTCTTCATCTTCTTCATCTCTTCTTGTCTGAGTCAATGGAATACTTTTGTCAATGGCTGTTTCATCAAATATACTGAATTCTGTTGAAACCAACAATCAATTAAAGGTTTGTCTGTCTTGTTATAGTCCCACATGGGAAATTCTCTGTAAMGCATGTAGATGCATGCAAATAACAAACAGTGTTCTAACCCCACTGTGAATTTATGAGTAGATCWACAAAAATTAATGAATATATTCTTGTGAAAGAAGGAAAAAAATTGCCAAAAAATATGAAATTTTCATTGAATTCAATTTCATTAAATATGTTTTCTTTGGGTTTGTCTTATATTTAATATCATATGGCATTTTTAACATGACAAAGTGATGCATGCTATTAATTTACTTTATTTATTTTAAATCTTTCAAGTTATAGATTGTTTGAAATGTATATCTCTTCTTTGACACATTTTTTTGTGACTGTTAATTATCACCTAACCTTGAGACCTGTCTAGTTTATCAGTCTTGTCTTCCTTGAATGCAGCCTCAAATTCACGTTCTACAGTAGGCACACTCTGTTGCTTCATCCATGTTAGCTCGTCTTCATTATCCATACCCAATGGGTTGCTGAACATTGCCATGACAAGATCAACAGCGTCCTTGGTATTTATAGTAACAGTTGGTGATGCCGTATATGGATCTACCCCCATCTGATTATCATTGGCTAAATGTCTGGCCTGACCGTATKGAGCATTGTGAGGACCTTGTTGCATGTCTAAGACATTGCTTCTATTAGTTGTGATGAATTGAGTAGGTCTACCTAAAGGCATGCTATGATTACCAACTGGCTTAAATGAGCCTTGACACGCAAYAGCAGGATGAACGTCTGTCATAGGTGSCTCATGATTTTTGTAAATCAAATTCTCAGTTGTCTCTGAAAGATACATTTATTGCATT